ATGTCTAGTCCTGGTTTAAGTCATCCTTGTAATCAAACAGGAATTTTTGCCCCAAGGTTCCCAGAGAGAGAGTCCCTTCTGGTTGAGATCCCAATTTTTATATTAGCAGAACAGGAGGGTTGCTGTCTGAACTGCCTTCCGAGAACATAGTTGTGGCTTTTAGGTCCACAACTGCAGAAGAAAACAACTAAGGTCTGTGTTGCCAGCCTGTCAGTCAAAATTGATGGCATTCTCTTGAGGATGGGTTCTGTGGCATGCTCACTGAAGGCCCCTTCTCTCTGGTCCTCTTTCTTCCCCTCTGATGGTTTTTTCAGCCTCTTCTCTGTGGAATCATCTAGCCCTACACTGTTCTCCAGAGCGAATAGATGCAGCAGAACCAATCCTCAAATAAGATTATTTTCTCCCTAAATCTGAATCAAGTCATTTCCCATCCACATTTTGATGCTATCCCTGGGCTAGCCCATCAAACTGAGTTTACTAACAGTGGCTATCCTCAAGAGCTGGCGCGAGGTTTTCACTCCCTCTTTATCCCTCTGACCAAACCCTGCATATGTAGGTATGGAATCAAGAATGCTCACTGATTGGCTAAATGACCACAAGCACAGACAGAGCCACCATCTCTGTGGGTCAGTCTGTTGGGGGAGGAGCCACAAAACAATAGGTATCATTGGCCACAATGGGCATCACTCAGTGTGTTTAAAAGGAGCCTCCTGTGATAATAGCACCAATGAAGAAGAAATTGCATTTATTTTAGTGACGGCTCCAACAGGTATGCAGGGGGAATAGACTGGCAAGTGTTTCAAGTGTGCTCTCACTGATTGCTTATCTGACGGTCTGACTTTCTTGCACTGCAGCTACTACCTAGAGGTCAGCAAGATAAGCCTTTCCTTAACAACCAAAATGTTTACATAAAGGGAATGCATTAGAAAAAGAGCAACCCAGGCACTTCCTTTGACTTAAGAATTTACTTTAGTTGTAGATCTATAGACTTGGATTTCTGTCTCAATGCTAAGTAACAACTGAAAGGCTGTGTGTGTGCGTGTGTGTGTGTGTACGTGTGTGTGTGTGTGTGTGCGTGCGCGCAGCACACACACATCAGAGGAAGCATATTTAGTAAAGAAATAAATATTTCTGAACACTGAGAAGAACTAATGTTCATATTAATGACTTTATTTTGTATAAGTAGCTCTACTTTACAGATTTTTTTTTTCTTTCTCATCATGGTTAAAATGAAAATGAAAAAGTGTTGTCTAAGAGAAGAGCTTCAGGGCCTGGAGAGATGGCCCAGCAGTTAAAGGCTAGGCTCACAACCATAAATATAAGAAATGAGCTTCAGATGTTTAAAAAATATGCTTACGTAAGACACATTACAGGATAAACGAGTTGTACATATAGGTGGGGAAATGTAGCCACGTACAGAGGGCTAAAACACCCCTGTACCTTCTCTTGGGGAGTAGTCTAAAGAGGGGAGTGGTGTATTGAGCCCAAAATCTTCAGCTGTTGAGATGAAAGTCTACGCTATATTCGGTGTTTGAATGCTTTCAAACTTTGGATCAATTAGTCATTTTTCCTTTCCTGTTTTTTTCCTTTGTAGCTTTGGATTCAAACTGCCAGTCTTCCCAGGCACATGTTGCCATAGGAGACTCTGTTTGTTGAGGGTGGAGTGGTTGGTTTTGGCATATTAGGGAGGAGCAATTAGTTCTAATAGGTATATAGTATATTAAATACTGTGTTTTTTTCCAAAATTCTCTGTATTTATAGCACCCCCACTTTTTAAAAATAAATTTCTTCCTCTCCCCAAGACCCTTTAGGAGTAAAAAATAATTTTTTAAAAATTTTTTATTAATTATAGTTTATTCACTTTGTATCCACCTCCCCCAGTCCACTGAAAAGGGAGGTCCTCCTCTCCTTCCTTCTGATCCTCGTCTATCAGGTCTCATCAGGAGTGGCTGCATTGTCTTCAAAATAAAATCTTTTATAAATCATTTGGGGATCACTGCAATAGAAGCCCAGTGAGACCTACAGAGAGTCACCTAGGTGTTGATGGCTTCATCATGGATTCCTTATGTTCTTGAGATGAGAAGCCATCCATAATAAAGATGTTACAAAGAACAATTAGCAGGGTTCCTTCCTAAAACCATTCAAAAGTATAGGCTGGAGCTGGGGAAATGGCTCTCTTTGTAAGGTTCTTATTTTACAAGCGTGAGGACCTGAATTTGATCCCAGAACCCACGTTTAAAAGAAGCAAGTAAACTAACAACAACAAAACCAAACTGGGGTTTGCTGTACGTACTTCTCACCCTTGTGCTGGTGAAGCAGAAAAAGACAGATCTCTAAGTCTTTCTGGCCTTGTATACTTGATGACTTTCATCTCAAAACAACAAAACCACAAATGGCACCTGTGGAATAACACCTAAAGTTGTTCCCTCCCCTCCACAACCATGTACACACATGTACACATGCCCTGGCATGCACATAAATACATAGTCTGTATAAATATTATATTCTGTATATGCGTGTCCATATACAGAAATTTTAAAGCGTTTTTTTTTTAAGGAAGAAATCTTCAGAGTTACTGTTCCCTCCATTCTAAAGAGCATGCAAATACTTGAAAAGAAAGTGTAGAGATATGTGAGTTTTTATAATTATAACAATTATATAGGCAGGAAAAAAATGAGCTGACCAAGTCTGGCCAATTAATCAGCCAAGGTTGAAGAAAGAATAACAGATATTTGTATGAGATGGGTAGGTTAGTCTCTAAGCACTTGAAAAAAAAGAAACAACTAAAGGACCTTAAAAGATGGATCTTTTTATTAATTAATTTGTTTTTATTAATTTCATTTTATTCACTTTGTATCCCAGCTGTAGCCATCTCCTTCATTCTCTTCCAATCCCACCCTCTCTCTTCTCCTCCTTTGCCTCTCTCCCAGTCTACTGATAGAAGAGGTCCTCTTCCCCTTCCATCTGACCCTAGCCTATCAGATTTTTTTCAAGACTGGCTGCATGGTCTTCCTCTGTGGCCTGGTAAGGCTATACCCCACTCAGAGGGAGGTTATCAAAGAGCCAGCCACTGAGTTCATGTCAGAGACAGCCCCTGTTCCCCTTATTAGGAAACCCACTTGGATGCTGAGCTGCCAGGGGCTACATCTGTGCAGGGGTTCTAGGTTATCTCCATGCATGGTCCTTGGTTGGGGTATCAGTCTCAGAAAAGACCCCTGTGCCCAAAGTTTTTGGTTCTGTTGTTGTTCTTGTGGAGCTCCTGTCCCCTCCAGGTCTTTCAGCTCCTCCTTCTTTCATAAGATTCCCCATTCTGTCCGAAATTTGGCTATGAGTCTCGCATCTGCTTCAATACCCTTCTGGGTAGAGTCTTTCAGAGACCCTCTGTAGTAGGCTCCTGTCCTGTTCCCTGTTTTCTCTTTTTCGTTGTCCATCCCGTTTGCCTTTCTGAATGAGAATTCATCATCTTACCAGGGTCCTCCACAGAAAGACACATATGGTATATACTCACTTATAAGTGGATATCAGACATATAATATAGGAAAAACATACTAAAATCTGTACACCTAAAGCCCTGATTATGAAGTCATCTCAAGCTTTCAGGCACCAAAGTAACTGGTCCAATGTGAGCAACAAATGTTCATCTTTGAATCTTTGTCTTTTCTCCCAGAGAGGCCTATGTTGCAAACAAAATTCATTTCCCTTCCTGCTCTCAGGTGACATTGCTGTACAGCTGTGTGACAGCTGTTGAGGTCGACCATACAAGTAACATCTTTTCAATGGTTGGCAAATGGGTATACATCTGGGATGAGATGTTCAATGACCTCAGGACCCCATAGAATAAATCAAAACACTGAAGTAATGCCTTGGATGAGCTTGTTCTGATGTAACTCAATTGCTGAACATTATTTCATAGCCATTACAAAACTGAATGATCTATCTCATCAAAGCATGATGGGACTATTATGGGATAATCTTGTCTTTGATATTTAAGGGGGTAGGAGAGAAGAAGTGATCTTCACATGTAACTGGAAGGTAGTCTCAGAACCCCAAAGTTCTATGATCAAGAACTTGTCCATGTTTCCTAAGGGTTTACTTTTGAACATGAGTTGGAAAGGGTAAGCCAGGGGATACAGTACAGGTTGGCTGGCTGATGGAACCTCTAGGAAGCTGTATGGTCTATTTTCTTCAAGTTGTAGCTCTCTGGAGAAGCAATGTACTTGTCTGCTGAACTGTTTTTTAACCACTTGTTGCTTTTCTTATCGCACATTCTCTTTTGGGGTGAAACACTCCGTTAACTCTGGCTTAGTCTGGGCCTCTTTCCCATTTTGGTTCCTGTTAACTGACAGCAGTAACAAGAGTGTACAGAAACAGTTCAGCTCTCTGCTCAGATGCTGTGTCTAAGTGACGTGAATCAGGTAGCTAGCTGTACACATGAGAATATTTTTGTGCCAGCCCTGGTGTCCTTAACCTAGGACCACTTTCACCTTGGATAGACAATATATATGTCATCATAACACCTGAGGAATCTCTAAGTGCCAAGCTTCAGCACACCAGGAGAAGGCCATAAACATGAAGAAAAGTGGTATAAAGTGACAATGATGACTAGCTCTGCCTGACCTTTGCTACGTGTTCTGGGAGACGATTATCACCTATATACATTTCCATTTTCTCACTGATAGACTCAACATTGCCCAGCACACTGGCTTTTTTTTTTTTAATAATTAGCAGAATTAAAATGTGAAAGTATGCTAAAGTAACTGATCAGATTATGTAATGATACAAGCAAGCCTTAGATGAAGACAGAAGCTTGATATGAAAGCAGAAAGCACCTAGGACACAAAGGTTTTTATCTTAAGTCTTTTCAACTTTTTGAGAATGTGTTCTGCCTTTTGAGCGCTCATCCAGACTCTTGAATTGGGTTGGAATAGGTTAGAGGTGATTTGGGGAGAGGGAATGGGGCCCATTGAGTCATGCAGGATACTGACTCCCTCTCTTCACAGCCTTTCCAAGCAGATGGCTGGTGTGACACTATCAATAACCGGGCCTATTGCCACTATGATGGGGGAGACTGCTGCTCTTCCACACTCTCTTCCAAGAAGGTAAGTGAGAGCACCTGGGATGGCTGGAAAGCTGTGACTCCAGAATTAGCCAGCCTTTGGCTAGCCATCCTTCGTGATGCATCATGATTGGTTCTAACCCAGTCACCAAGAGACTACAAGTAAACAACAGAGTTTCTGAAGTGATTAAGTGATTAGGTGGTGAGCATGGCTTACTAAATTGCCAATCTAATGATCCATTGGGCCAACAATGACTTTTGTTGTTTTCAGTCTCCTGGCTGTTTGTCATTGCCCAGACAAAAGAATGTCTTCCTTCCTTTGAAGGTTCTAGGTCACTAGAGCAAAGCTTCTCAGTTCTTACCCAATAGTCCTATATAATCTATCACACATACATCACAGGAGTGTGTTAGATAGCTACCTGGACAACTCTCTGGACCAGATTGGTAGCAACCCTTTGTCAAATACATGTTGTCCCTATTATTCTTGGCTCTGTTAAATTAACAGATAAGTTCCTTGTGTATATAAAATGGAGTGAGCTGACATTTTTCAATGTCATTATTTGAAGCTAGCTGACAAACTCGATGAGTTCGAGATATGCTAAGAGTTCCTTCTCTGTATGTATTTCCATAATAACACCATAATCAACTATATATGGCATAGAGTGTCATCTTCAGTTTTCCCTCCTCTGATCAGCGTGTGCCAGGCACTATGTTCAGCTTTTCATCTGAACAAAGTGAGTTAACACAGAGTACTTAATCATATCCTCACAACATCAACCAATTTGGGCCTCTCTTCTTTGAAAACTAGTAAGTCTTAAGCTAAGAGAAACAAGTCATGAACTTTAACCATAAGTCAGGAATCAGGTAAGCTGTTTTCTATCCTTGCTTGTGGAAATAGCTACTCAAGGAGTGTATCTGTATACAGGAAGGCATGGCCACCTAGGGAGAAATATTTTAACTCTCTCCCAAATCTCTGTAAACCTGGGATTTGTCTATGAATTTTAGTGCCTCTCTTCAGCATACAGAAAAACTGAGATGATAAAGGTGCATTATTTCACCTTTCTACTGACTCTACATCATGTTTTATTCCATATGTGCAAATAATCTCAGCCATTATTTAATCTAGTTATATAGTCACTGAATCCATGGCTTCAGTGGGTCTTCACTGATACAAGCCATTTATGTTTATCTCATTTAATCTTAAGTACCCAAGAGGTAGAATATTTACCATTCTGATGTCTCAATGTTGTCTTTGACATTCAAAAGGAATTGCTTATCAGTTGGTAACAGTGCAAGTAAGAAGAAAGCAACTTTTTCTGTCCCATCTCTGAAATCAGAGTGGGATAATAACACAGGAGGGAGATGACAACCTCATACAGTGGGTAGGAAGATGCAAAGTCTCACAACCACAAAGTATATCTGAGGCCCAAGAAAGGCAAAAATTCATGCATATGAAGTTGTCTCCGATGATCCCACTGCCCCCAAAGTACAGAGAAGTCAGAAACATAAACGTCTAGGCAGTCTAGGCTTCATGTGTGGCAATTATTACTCTGACTTAAGTCGGTTCTAGTCTTCCTCATAAAGAGCAAGTGCTATCGTTCATCTTTATGTCTACGATGATTACAACAGTAACAAAAACAATTACAGTAGACATTGTGGGAGTTATTCCAATAATAGTTGTAGGTGTAGAGAAAATTAGAAATGTGTTATAGCATCCAGTTGACCCAACTACACAGATGTTCTCACCTGTTGTGTTTTCACCTTATAGATGAATAAAGCAAGCAATGAATGCCTAAATGACATGACACATACGAGGATGCAGTTTTAATTACAGGTCTATGATGGGAATTCCCAATATCATACTTCTTGTAGGACCAAACGAGGAGAATTAAAGCCAGTTGAAAAGTGTGAAGCTTGGAACAAAATGGATAGTTTCAACTTCCTGTTCATTCCCCTAGGTTATTCCATTTGCTGCTGACTGTGACCTGGATGAATGCACCTGTCGTGACCCCAAGGCAGAAGAAAATCAAAAGCAGTAAACTCAAGGACCAGAGCCCACCATCCTCTGCTCTGGAGGCAGACTAAGAGATAGAGGCTCCCATATCAGGATGCAAAGGGTGAATACAGGACTCATGGTGGAATGAGAGCCTAGGCCAGAGCCTCTAACAGATGCAAGAGAATGTTCGTAGGTGCCAATTAATGCATTAAGTAGCCCAAGTAGGGAGGAATCACATGCGAAAGTTTCTGTAAAAAGATAATTGATTAGAAATGGAAGGAGAAGGACATTTGTACTCTTCCCCATTTGTACTCTACTCCATCCTTTTCTCGATTCTCATGCTCCTCCCCACTCTGCATGCTGTCAGTGGCTCAGCCGCACCCAACATGCAAACATTAGAAAATAAGCTGCCAGGGACACTCTGTTAATACCCATTTCAAGTGGACTGTCATCTTCCAGGGCTCATCTACTCTAAACTGGCCCTTTGCCTTTCTTTTGCATAGTCTCTCTTAAATAATGAGGTTAGCTATTTCTTTATAAGTATTTAAACATAATTATATGAATATATTATATATTATATTTTTTGCTGTTTACTAAGCTAAAGATTGATCCATTTTTTTCCACACATGCTGCTGTCCAGATGGATACTGAAGCTTTGAGGCCAGAAAGAAAGGTTCTTTTGCCCTCCTTTCAGAGATAGGGATTGGCAGGTTGGATGGGAAGAAGAGAGTACTTGGAAGTCTGGATGCTGGCCTGTCAGCTGATCATCATTTTATGACCTGGGAGCTGGGCCTGCTGAAAGGAGATAGACTTGGCTTGCTAAGGGCAAGAGGCATGGAAAGTTACAAGTGGGAACCCATTTGGAAGTAGGTCCAGGAGAACTAGACAATGGTTTCTAAGCATCTATCAAAATGAGCATGCAAATTATTCTACACTTCTCAGAACTCCCAGTTGGAGTTGGTGGAGTCCAGGGTCTTTTCCACCTCTACCTGTGCCTAGTCCAAGCATAGCTGCCAGCCAGCCAGCCAGTCAAAAGCTCATTCCCTGGACACCAGGCTCACGGGAACTTACACCCTCTTCATACTTGGACAGTCGGTGCCTCTCCTTGTTGGAAGTCTCAAAGCCTGGCCATCATTCACAGCCACATCACCATCTGTTGATTTTCTGAGAAAAGAAAATGCTTTGGAAATTCAGTGGGGGGGGGGGGGAGGTAAAAGAGATGAAAGCACAGGCAGAGATAGGAGCCAAAGGCTGTCAGAGAGGTGAGAGAGGTCAAGAGTAAATGAGGTTTGAGGATAGGAGGAGTGAGTGAACAAGTCCCTGTCCCAAATCTCTAAAAGAGGCCAGAGATCCCTCAAGTGATGCGATAAATCTTATTCAAGTACAAGGCATGAAGTTTGTGGCCCAGTAAGCAACATGTGGAGCGAGGGTGACACTCTGTGGGGAGAAAGGAGAATTTCAACTATTTAGGGTTCATGTTGTCTTTACCAATGTTGTCTTGTTCAATAGCCAGCCATACGGACTACACACAAATTGATCACATCAACACTTCCTTTCTTTTCATCCATCTTAGGCTCACATCTTAGGAGTCCATCTTCGGGGTCTGTCCTGGGTATGTTTTCTTTTAAGAGTTTCTGGATCACACCAAGAAAGAGAGGTTGGGGCTCAGTTTCTTCTGTTTAACAACAACCTTGTCCTCTTACAAAGGCTCTGAGCTGTTTCCTTTAAGTTTTATTCCAGTGGAAACTGAGTCCAGGCAGAACTTGGAACCACTTCTGGTACCTCCACAGCCTCTCCTTTTGTTCTCCCTGTCCTTCATTATCAATACTGAAGCAACTAATCTATAAAATAATAAAGAAAATCTTACTTACCATCATCAGCATATTACCCCTGCTGTTTATGAAGAACAATACTCTGTAATGAGTTTGGGTATCATGATACACACATTACCTATGGGTAAGTGGAATAAGGACAACAAAGTCGTCAAGAAAGGGAATAACAGAGTTAGTCCATCGAAAATTGTCTCTATTCCTAGCTATACGGTAAACAGTTCTCAAATACTGTCTACTGCCTCGGTCATACCCTCAGTCAAGGGAGGACATTTCTGTCTGATACTTCATTTAAAAAGACTCTGTGATTTCTTGGCAACATTCATGCTGCCCTGAGAAGGCAAGAGGACAGTTTCTATGGTGTGTGAAAAGTTCCCCAGGCTGAAGGCTACATAGTCATAATCAGCTAGAGACAGAGGCTGCGGTCCTGTCTAGACTTTGTCCCTGGGCCCCAGTGTTTGGAGCAACCGAAGTCCCTCATAAAGAAAGTGATCACAGATCCCGGGGGCAACTCATGCTTGACTTTCCATGTGATTGTCTGCATTCTGTTTCTCTTAGACATCCATAATGTCATCCAGAGCCCTTCAGAAAGGCTCCTCCCTCCCTCTCTTCCTTTATTCCAGAGTCACCTCCCTGTTTCTTCTTGTCCCTGGTAACTAGAGTTTTGAGGTCCACATGGCACAGAGGCAGCTGACTTCAATAGTTCCCATGATAGCCGTCAGTCACAGATACAGAAAAGAGGTCAGCAGGGGCAATGAGCAGATCTTGGCAAAGAAGGCAGCGAGTAGAGTCTTGGTTCTTTCCTTTCCAACATTGCCAGGCATTGGTCTTGACACTTGATCTATTCTGTGTGATCACTATTGAGTGTGTCACTTAGCACCCAAGGGGACAGTTTGATTGAAAACATGGTGAAAGGAGCTGATCTACTGTATTGTAATGTAAAACAGCCACATCCAGTTATTTTATAAGATTATAAAAGGTTCATTAAAAAATCAGCACACAAAATATGAGGTGCGTTTGGTGTCTTGTTCTTTGTTTAAATGATTTCATTATTTCTGAGTCACTTTTCATTGGCCTGTACCAAATCCACAATTCCCTTATTGGCTGATCACTCCCTTCAGTCACTTGAAAAGTATTTGTTACATAAATAGGTTATGAAAGAGAGATAAACACGCAATTCCACGAGAAGAGATGACATTTACAAAGGTAGAGTATGCGACAGGGATGCCAAGTCCCTGGTGAGCTATGAAAAAAAAAAAAACATGTTCAAGAATCGTTTACATTTCAGATGTGATGAGCATCATCCCTGGATACCAAAGGGAGGTGTTCTTTGAAGGATGGTTGGTAAAATTTGCATTTGACAGGCAGAAGCAGAGGCGTGAGTAGAGAACAGAGGTGAAGATGTGGAGGTAGCAATGGGGAAGACCATTCGTTAGTGGACATTGGTGAGGCATCGATGAAACTTACAACTAAATTAATGTGCACCAGGAAGTTGGAAAACACATCTTATTTAATTCTCAGGGCACGGGGAAATCTGAAAATCACATATTCTCACCTCACAGATGAGAACACCAACCACCAGTCTGGAGAAGGCAGTTCTCCCAGATGATGTAACTGAACTAACTTCAAGCCTGCCTTGCGGGATACTGAGGTGTACAAAGGGGAAAAAATAGCGATTAATAAGAAAGGAGGTGGTGATGGACAGTTGCAGAGGTGAAGCTGCCACCTCCTGTGACATGGAGGGAAAGAGGGGTCAGGAGAGCAAGTTTCAGAGCGAGAATATTAATTTGCTCTTTGGATGAACTTTGGTTGATGGCCAGACAGATAATTAGCTAGAAGTGTCACATAGAGCTGAGTTCAGCACCCTGGAGGAGGCTTCTGCACCTGGGACCAACAGTCTCAACTCTCTGGTCATGCCAGACATAGCAGGGACAGCCGTATGGATTGCTTGTCCCACCTACCCGCCTGCACTTGGGAAGACATGTAGAAAAGGAGGCTGGGAACATAACCTTGGACTGTGAGAAAGAAGTTTGTGGTTGGAAATAAGCATTTTATAATAAAAGGAATTATTCCTTGGCATTTTCCAAAATAACTCGCGAAGTGCCTTTCCTGTGATTTTTAGCTATCTATGGGTGAGGGGTGAGATCACTTTGGATATTTTACAAGTGAAGAAATCGAGTGATGGGGATATTACTAGAAATTTGAAGTATGTGTTCTAAGTTGCAGGTTGGGATAGGACTCCAGCTTTTGCTTGTTTTGTTTTGCTCTTAAACATAATGTGTTTTCTGTAGACCCAAGAGTGAGCCCATACTCAACTTCCATGAGAAAGTTCACAGCTTTCATCTGTTTGTGTTTGGAAGTACTTACTGGTTTCCCTGTGGTTTTCTTAGTCTTTCTTCCCTCCTGCTGCTGTCCATGTTAAATGGTAGGGAATCCCCCTTGAGCACCACCTCCCACCCTGACCCTCTCTCATGCCAGGCCCTGAGTATAAGCAGATGCCCTTGAACATGCCAGTTAGGACAGCTGGACGGGAACAGCTGGCAAGGTTGTATTCTTCTTAATAGTTTCCCCAGGGAAAGTCCTGGACAGAGACTTTGGAGCTCTGGTTTTTATAGACTGATGAACAGAAATGACGTGATGAGTCATCCATAAGCTCAGAGCCCTGAGCTCAGAGACCTGCTCTTCCATCCAGGCCATGCAGGTGATGAGAAGCTCTGTGGGTGGGGAAAAAAAGGTGAGCAGGATGTTTACAAATCCAAGTTGTTCCACTGAGTCACTGTGTGTGTGTACACATGTATTCATATATTTGCACATACATATGTTTGTTCTGCATGTATATATGTGCATGCGAAGGCCAAAGAAGAGCCTTAGCCATTGTCCATCAAGGTCAGAGGACAGCCTTGGGTATTGCTCTCAAGCACTGACCACCTTTTTCTTTTCTGAGACAGGCCCTCTCAGTGGCCTAGAACTGGCTGAGCTTTCTGGCACTGAGTCCCAGAGATCTGCTTACCCACCTCCCCAATGCTGGGATTACAAATGACCACCACCATCCCTGGAGAATGGAAGCATTTTAGAGATGGAGATTTCTTCCAAGCCCCGAATCACATTCATTTTTAAGTCATTCATTTGATTTGTGCTTTTTGTTTGAGAGACATAGACATAGACATAGAAAGGCCAATGGGGGGGGGGAGAAAAGAGAGAGGGGAAGGAAGAGGAGAGAGAAAGAGCACAAAGTTGGGTGGGAGGGATGAGGGGAGCCTCTGGGAAGAGTTAGAGGAGGAGAAAGAATGTGCTCGCAAGATATTGTATGAAAAAAAAAATGAAAGAATACCACTGACTCTCACTCTTTGATATTTTTAGAAGGATCATGTACTAATAATGATCTGTGCCAATAAACATTCTGTATGTTTCTTGTGTATTTCTCCTGCACAAAGACAAGCTTGACTTAGAAAGTAGGTATTTATTTTCAAGTCTGTCAAGTTCATATTATTCTATCAGAATCCAGGCTGGTCAGCAAACTGGTCTGCTTCATTCACTTCCTCAGTGGTGATCATTTTGTTATTTGTTTTTATGATCCTCTGTTCCATATTTAGGTAATGTTGTTAAATGTTAGTAAGGGCTCATGTGACAATGGTGGAGTACATTCTTGGAAAAACTCTGCCAGTCTAATCTTTGTCACGTTTCCACTGAATATTT